CCTATGGTGTGTTTGTTTGTTTGTCCATGTCCCCACCTTATCCTTCTACCATAACATTTCCTTAAATAAAGGAAGGAAATGAAAATACACATACTCTATAAAAATAGAGTTATGTTTCCTAGAAAGTCTAATGAGGAAAGATAGAGACAGATGGAGTTCACTTGGCTAATTTTCTGCCCAGCTGCCTAGATGAAAAATAAAGATGTACTGACCCCACACTTCTGTATTCCTAAACAGTTCAAATATTCAGTCTGTTTTAGTTAACCAGAAAGCCAAGGTTGAATGGTCACTATTTAAATTTACAGCCACTATTCACCTGGCTTTCAGTCCTCTTTTTTTTTCTTTTCTTTGACATGGAAGAGAGGTTCAAAAACAGGATAAATCCCTTCATTTAGCTCTAATCCCTAAATACGGAGTTTGCATTAGGTTAGACAAAAATGACTTGCCCTACCCTCATCACATTTGTTAGAGGGAGAGTTAAAAAATAATTTGCTATTGTTCAGTTGTTTTCAGTCATGTCCATCTCTTTGTGACCCATTTAAAGGTTTTCTTTTTATTGTTTTTTTTTTGTTTCTGGTTATTGTTGTTGTTGTTGTTGTTTTTCGGGGGGGGAGTTGGCCAAAATACTAGAGTGGTTTGCCATATCTTTCTCCAGCTCATTTTACAGATGAGGAAACTGAGGCAAACAGGGTTAAGGGACTTGCCTAGGGTTACATAGCTAGTAAGTGTCTGATTCCAAATTTTAACTCAGGAAGATGAATCTTCCTGACTCCAGGCCGGGAACTCTAGCCACTGTACCACGCAGTTGCCCACAATAGATATATTTTAATTGAGACTGAAATTTCTATTCTTTTTTCTATTATTTATTTAATATTTAGATCCTGAAAAGTATCAATCCCCTCTTTCTAAAACCATGCAAAATTCAGTAACTTCAGGTTCTATCTCTGAGATAAAATGAAATGAGAATTGAAAGAGACTATGGAAGGTACATGACAAGAGTCAATGGTAATTGATTGGTATTTCCTATGACTTCCATTGGTCTTCTTGCAATGTCAGACGAAATTGAGGAAGGTCTCTAATATGTTGAATAACCTGTGTCTGATATGAGAAGACAGGAATGAATCTCCTTGGATTAGTGGGCATAAATGAATTATAATATGCATCATGGAAGGAGATTCACACATTGATATGCTTGCAGATCCATTCAAGCAGATGAGCATTTGGAAACCTATTTCTCTTGATCTGTTTTTTCTAGTATAGCCCTGCTACCAAGGGCTTATGACAGATACAACTCCTCTCTATTTCCTCTCTGGAAGACTTTTTCTCTATTCTATATTTTATTCTCTCACTCAGTGAAAAAACTTAATCTCTCCTTCTACCTGTGTTCTTTATTCTTAAATGGCTAATATAATGGAGAAGTAATGGCAGAGAAGACACTTGTCAGGAATGCAAGAGGTTATCTTCTAATTCAGAGGTTCTTAATCTTTTTTTTTTTTTTTTGCATCAAGGACCCCTTTGGCAGTCTACTGAAACCTATTGACCCCTTCTCAGAATAATGTTTTAAATTAATACATTAAAATATATAAGATTACAAAGAAACCACTGATAATGAAATACAGTTGTCCAAATAATAAACACAATAATATGTTTATAGATCCCAAAGTAAGAGCCCCTGGTGAATGGGAAAGACTTTGAATTGAGAGAAATGATTCTTAATAACCAATGATTTGGGGAGATCCAGAGTTCCCCCCTTTTTTCTAAAGCCCTGCCTTTAAAAGTTCAGTCTCTTGAAGGACATTACTGATAATGCGATTGGATTAATTTTCTTGTTCAGACTCCATCCAGGTAGGGAAGCCATTGTGTTCTACTTAGGAATAAATTATTTGAATAGATTGCCCAAAGGGTGAGGGGGAGGTTGCAATGTAGGAAGTAAAATTTCAGGTCCAGCCCCTCATTGTAATTTTCATTCTCTCATTAATGGTTAACCAATCAGAGTTGTTTGCCACCCTAGGGAATACCCCTTTTCCAATGGACAAATAAGGTGTGAGCAGCAATCATGATTGTCTTTGGTATGAGAGAAAAAAGGCCTAATGACCATCCTTTTTATTAAAATGCTGGCATCATCAATAAAATGATTAAATTAAGCAGAAATTATGTCCCTAGAAACAGTTTTAATTGCTACAGAACCATCCTTGAGAAGAAGCCTTTCCTATTTGAATCAAATTGCCTATCCTCATCTCTATAGATTGGGTGATTTTCTTCATTCTGAGATATACCAAACTGCCTTTGAGCCAACATGCAGCTATCACACCAAAATTACCCTATATTTCTCCTTCAGGACTCCTCTGACCACTCTACCTGCTTCAAGGATTCTGAGATTTAAATCATGGCGCTTAACTGGAAAACACTAGTTTTTATTAGTTGTCTTTCCCCTTTCTTCTTTAATTGTGGATTTCTAGCAATTTTCAAGAATAAATGTAGAACCTGAATCATCTAGAGTGTTGCCCTCACCCTCCACTTCACTTAATATGCTCAGAAAAACCTCAACACCCTGTATATAGAGAACAAAATACATTCCATTGATAGTACATGCATCTCTCTGGGCCTATCATAGAGTTTTAGGAGTCATATCATATCATAGCAGCTCTCAATGTAGGTCTAGGGCATTTTCGAAAAACATTTATATATATATATATATATTAATCGTAGGGTTTTATGACTATTATCTTTAGAAGCTGTTTTCAATTCCTTCACCCTAAAAATATTTGCTTCCTACTTACTACACCATCCTATTAGGTCATCTACTCACAAGTCTTATCATGCTGCTCACTTAACTCCAGCACCTCCCTCAAATGAAGGTAATTGATTATGATACCCCCTTCCTCTTTCCTTGAAATCTTCTGGGACTCCTTGGATGAAAGAAGACTCCAATTGAAAGTGGCATTTAAAAGGAAGGGAACCATATTTTCCCCCCTCAGAGCTGCTTTTGACCTTCAAGAAAAAGAAATGTGAATTCTTTGAAAATATTCCGGGGAGTCAGCTTAGAGCTCTTGCCTCTGGCTTCTAGCCACTATTTGTGGGCACTTTGAACTTAGGCATGCAATGAGACTGTTTCTTCTGTGTTCTCTGAAAAGTGGACTGGACTGATTTTCTATAGATATTAACTTTCCTCTTCCCTCCCCCCCCCACCTCCAATGGAATTTGTGGTTACTGATAAAACAGCTTGTCACAAACAGCTCTCCTTTTAGAAAAGCAAGTGAATGTGACAGGAGGGTATCATACTTCTGTAAAGTGGTCAAGGATTTCCCCTGTTTAAGCTTGATGCTTATCTCACAGTTGTGGCCAACTCAAATCTGTAAAAGGTTTTCCAAAACCACTCAGGGCCTACTCCTTAAATCCCTGAGCAAATCCACAAAACTGCAGATTTCTTCTGTCATAGAATTCTTCCTGTGTTAAATAGCTTCCTTCCCCCTGACACTTACTCATTTATTTTCATTTCACCCAAGTAATGTTGACCAAAAAAGCAGGCATGAAACAGAATTTTAGTTGTTGTTGTTTGGTCATTTTTTATTCATGTCTGACTCTTTGTGATCCCATTTGGGATTTTTTTAGGCAAAGATACAAGGATGGCTTGCCATTTTTTGTACAGATCATTTTACAGGTGAGAAAATTGAGACAAACAGGGTAAAGTGACTTGCCCAGGGTCACACAGCTAGTAAGTGTCTGAGGCCAGACTTGAACTCAGGAAGATGAGTCTTTCTGACTCCCGACCAAGCACCCTATGCACAATGGCACCTCCTAGCTGCCCTTTTAATTATGAGATACCCAGAAAGGGAGCTAATCCAGATCATTAATTTTATAGTCAAGGAAACTGAGGTCCCTATGGGGAAAAGTGATTTACTCAACATCTCACTTCTAATCATCTGTAGCAAAGCCATGAGACCTGAACCCAGATATCTTTGACTCTGTACCCTGGGTTCTTTACTATGCCAGACTATTCTTTTTTATTTGAATCATAAGAGCCTAGGATTGTAGACTGAGAGCAGGAAGTGACTTCACAGGACACTTAGGATGGTAGGATTGTAAATTTAGATAGGAAAGATAATTTAGAGATTCTTGAGTCCCAACAACCTTATTTCACTAATTAGGAAATAAAGCCCAGAGGGATCAGAGGCCCAAAGAACCATAGACCTACGGCAGATATTCTTAACCCTTTTGTGTGCCATGAAGTCAATGTGATGAAGCCTATGGACCCCTCCTCAAATTGATATTTTTTAAATGTATAAAAGGCACATGATTAAAAAGGAAACCAGTTGTATTGAAATACAGTTATCAAAGTATTGAAAACACAAACGCATGTACAAGTTCTCAGATCCCAGGTTAAGAACCTATGATCTAGATATGAAAAGTACCTCAAGGGCCATCTCCTCTAACCCTCTCATTTTATGGATGCGGACCAGAAGCTCAGACAATTTAAGTGCGTTTCCCAAGGGTACATGGATAGTAAGAAGCAATCTGCTATATTGTACATTCTTTCGTCTTTTTTCCTAAGAATAAAAGAGTCACAATGAATGAAAAATACAACCTGAACCTGGGACGTCAGTGGCATAGGAAACTCCCAAATAAGTAAACTCCCTCTGTCTACCAGTGTATGCTGGTACCTTCTCTGCAATTTATAATTTTATAGGACTGCTTCCAGGGGAAGCCAGGTGACTCAGTGGATAGAGCACAACCCTGGAGTCAGGAGGACCTGAGTTCAAATCCAGTCTCAGACATTTACTAGTAGTGTGGCCCTGAGCAAGTCATTTTACCCTGATTGCTTCCAAAAAGAAAAGAAAGAAAAAGCCACTTCAAGCCTAAAGAGGTTAAAAGCCTAGCCCAGGGTCATCCAGCCAGTATATCAGAGGGTGGAATATGAACTCATATCTTCCTGGCTCTAAGATCAGCTTTACATTATATTTTATTGCCTCTCATCTGAAACTCTTAATTGAAATTTTCAGGATATGACCAACCAGTCCTCTTAACTTGTCAAGTTTACCTTTTGATGGAGAGACCCAGTCCATATCCCAGCCACTAGCATCTGGTAAGTGTGTCTGTTGTTTTTCTTCTCAGATCTCATTTTAAAGCTAGATTGAAACACAATACCAGATGTTCTTGGTAAGTGGAAGATGTTAGATGGAGGACAATGTCTCACTTTGTTTTTCGTTTTTGTTTGGTTTGGCTTTTTGTGTGCATCTCTTAGAGAAATATTATCTGTTCCTCATTACATACTTTTGGAAACTTAACTTTTGTTAAGATAGGAGCACAAGTACAGAAATATAGCTGAACTCTGAAGGCCCCAGTGACAGCATGTCTTGTGTTCCATGTCCTTCCCTGAACTCTTCTAAATAAAGAATCATGCCTCCTAGCCCGAAAGGTGAGAGCTGTCAGGATGAAATTCCAAGAACTTTGGTTTTAATGAAAACTCTGTGAAGAGACCGAGGTAATAACTTCTATATCTTTATTTTGTCATCCATTGAGCTCTACAGTTAGGGAATCCTTCCAATTGCTAAGAAGCTGCCTGGTAGGTTTTTATTGGGAAATTTGATTTAGCTAATGGCACCCCTCCACAAATGGCTACTGCTCATTTATTTGAGGATGCTGGAGGGTATTTTGGGATGACTTAAGACATTTTTAAACCTATTGTCAGATAAACAGTGCCAGCCTCAAAATGCATTGTTTCAAGCAGCCACTCAGTAACATCTTCAAAGCAGTGTCTCCATAATGAGCTGCTCTGAGGACTTCTAACATTCCCATTTCTACCAATGGGCAACTTTTTGTTAACCTCTAAGAAGGAGCATTTTGTCTCACACATCTCACCAGAAGGTCATATCTCAGGCAAATGTGGATGCTGCCCTAAATTAGGGGCAACTTTCCAGACAAGTGACGGAATGAATATTATCATTTTTCCCTTACTTGAGCTAAGGCAAGTAATTTGAGGAGGATGAGAAAAAGAGATACTCAAGCCCAGTCCATCTGGGGTGAGGGAATCAGGGCTCTTAGCTGTCTTATCATGGGCTGCCTTTCTTTCTCTTGTTTCTGTCTCTCATTTCTTTTACATTGAATTTCCTCTGAATCAGCCTGCCATTTGCGATGGACACTAAAAGTAGATGTGACTAAGTGGAAAGCCATTTAGAGAGGTCCTTGTCATTTGACATTACCACCCAGTTGCTGACACAGCAACTTTTCCATATGTTTTGGAGGAAATGGAGTGTGGTAAAATAACTACTGCCTCTGATCTCACAGACTCTGTCTACCCTAAATAAATAATTTTTGGGAGGTGGGGAGAGTTAGGAGGAAAAGTGGAATTACTTAGGTGTTTGTTTTTGAACCTTTCATATGGAACAGCATTTCTTGATGAATTTATTTTATAGAATAAAAATAAATTAAATTAAATGAGGATACACAAATGAAATGTTATTATATTTTATTCAGTTTGAAAAATGAAGCCAGTTATGTGTGTAATTAATAGTAGTTAAAAGTGGAAACTTTTTTAAAAGTATTTTCTTTATTTTGTTTGGTGAAATTCTACATCAAGACAGGTAAAAGGGCTGAAAAATTTCCAGAGGCTCATTTATTCACAGAATCATAGAATCAATTATATTAATGACTACTTGGTTTAGAATTCCAGACGCAGTGTACTATACCAAGCAAAATACTGATCTTACAGTGAGAAAGTCCTCCATCAGATTCTAGTTGTATGACCCTGGGCAAGTCCCTTAATCACCCTAGGCCTCAGTTTCCTCTATTTTAATATGAAAAGATTAGACTCAATGAGTTATTAGGTTGATTCCAGATCTAAATCTATTATTGTCTGAGGCAATCCCAGATCTGCCATTTATATCTTTTGTGAAAATGGGCAAAGAACAGTTACATGCTCCTTAAGACTCAGTTTTTTCTCTTTTATAAAATAAGGGAGTTGAATTAGCCTTCTAAGTCTCTTCCACCTCTCAGTCTATGAGCCTATGATCTTTATTTTTCTCTCAGTTTCCTCCACAGTAAAATGAAGGTGTTAGGCCAGGTGATCTCTTGAGTCCTTTCCAGTTCAAAGTCTGTTAACTACTCATTATGTGAAGGACTTTATGCCAGGCCCTAAGGATATGAAAACAAACAGCTAATACCCTCGGAAAAATATCACACCTATGTGGTAAGCTGGACCATCACTGTCCTCCACCCACTCCACTTCCTCACCTTGAATCTTGCCCAATCAGACTGTAAGTTCCTTGAGAACATTTGTTTTCCATCTTTCCAAGACTAATACAGTACCTGGTATATAATAGGGGTTGAATCAATAATATCTAGCATTGATGAAGCATTTACAAATGTGTAAAGGGCATTGGACAATTGTGAGATAGGAGCTGTTATTAGTCCCCATTTAACAGATGAGGAAATTTAGGTTGAGAGGTTAAGTGACTTCTCACACAGGATCCCACAGCCAATCTGCATGAAGCAGGTTTTCAACTCAGGTAAAGAGATGCCCTTGAGTGATTGGTCTTTCTTTGTCAAAACCTATTGCCATACTCTGTAAATAGTAATAAATATTCGCTGGATTAAATTGCTAAGTCAGATGACCTTCATGACTTCTTATAGTTTAACTTAAGTTTGAATTCTTTTGAATGTGGAATTTTTTCCCCACTCTTTTTACATACTCTTCTTTTCAAATCTTTCCCTATAATGAAATCACTGCAATCTTCCATGAACTCTCTAACCCATCAAAAGCATTTATTAGGCAGACACTGTGTTCCCAGAACTATTTTAGACTCTAGTGAGACCACCCTTGTCCATAAACCACAGTTTCTAACATGTGGAAGCAATCCCTCAGTTAACAGATAATACTAGAATCATTGAGTAAACCTATTTAAAAGGATTTGGGAGAACAAAGGATCACAGAATTTCAAAGCTAGAAGGAACCTTAAAGATTATCTCATTCAACCTTTATACTTTACATGAGGAAAAACTAAGAAGAAGCCTAGAAAGGTGAATTAATTTGCCCAAGATTACACAATGAGTTAGTGGCAGAAATGGGACTCATCTTTAAATTACTTTCATCCCAAATTGCAGGTGGAAAGAGTGCATTCAAATTATTTATTTATATTTTTTCCTCTATCTCTCCTATCTTCCACAGTGTCAGGCATATAGTAGGCATGTAATAAGGACTCATTATTTTACTAATTAATTAGAACAAAATGAAAATAAACAGGACACTTTGATTTAAAATGGTGTACAATAACTAAGCAATTAGTTTTAGACACTAGTCAAATTAGATACAATTCTATTCTGCAACACAGAATGCAATTTTAAGACATGTTTTGGTCTAGCGTATAAAAGAACTTCATTTCGAATAACATGGCGGGAGGTCTCCAGTGGCTTGCCAAAGAGATCTATCTCTATGGTTGGTTCTGTGCTGTTGAACATTTTTCAACAACAACTTGAATAAAGGTATCAATCAAATGCTCATCAAGTATGAAGATGGCAAGAAACTGGAAGGATAGCTAACAAAATGCATGGCATAGTAAGGGAACACAAAGATCTTGACAGGCAAAAGATTGATCTCATAAAAGTAAGTTCGATAGAGATGAGTGAAAAATACTGTTTTAGACTACAAAGAATTTCACACACCTAAGATAGTGGAGGTATGGCTAGACAAATGTTGCTTTGAAAGAGATCTAGGGGTTGTAGTGAATTGCAAGCTCAATATATCAGTCAGCAGTGTGATACGGTAGCAAAAAAAAAAAGAAAAAAAGTTGCTTTACAAGGAAGGGGTCTAGTTTCTCAGAATAGGGAAGTGACAGTCCCACACACGATGTTCTATCTCCAATATCCGTGCCTTTCCTCTAACTGTATCCCATAACCGGAAAACCTTCCTTCTCTATCTCTGCCTCTTGGCTTCCTCAGATCCCTTTAATACTTGGCTCAGGTTCTGTCTTCTGCGTGAAGCCTTGCCTGATGCTCCATGCTGCTGATGCTTTCCCACCCCAAACTACTCTATTATTTAAAATTATATTAGAACTAGCATATAATTATTGTTATTAATTGTTATATGTGTATAATATATATGTTATAATGTACAGTTATGTAAATGAATCTGTAAGATACAATTATTGTGATATTATATGTATATATGTTTATATTCTCTACATACTTTTATGGTGTGTGGGGGGTGTTCATGGAGTTCTAACACCTCTGGTGTGAGGGCTTGCTGAACCCTTTTCAGGGCTGTCCGTTCACCTTTGATGCCCATCTGTACCCTAACTCTCACCAACCTGTGGTTCCAAGAAGGTACAGCATGTGCAGTGGCCACACCCTGGTCAAACTCTCACTGGATTGAGGGTAAATGACAAGCCTCAAACTCATCAGTGAATTAAGGGCATGTCTGCCCCAAGCATGTAAAGCCTTCACAAGCATGAGGACAATTTGTTACAAAAGCCGTGAAGGCAGCTAAAGCAGGCTCTGCGGAGCACTTAGAGCTTAGTCAGACGTCAAAGATACCAAGGTCATCAGCTGCATCCCAGGCCACTGTCAGACCTTTTGACTTTTGTGTTGCCAGCGGACTTTAATAATTTCAGAAGAGTGAGTGAGACTGAGGACTTTGAATAACTCTGCCTCACTTAAATCCAATTCCTTCTCAAGTTAAGACATCATCCTGTGATGTCATTGGTGCTCTTTGAAAACAAAGGATGAACAACACTGTACACACACACACACACACACACACACACACACACACACGCACACATACACACTACATGTTTCCTTTCCACCATTATTATATGAGCTCCTTGAGCAGGTTTGCTTCCATTTTTGTCTTCGTATCTTCATTGCCTAGCATAGCGTCTGGCACATAGCAGGGACATCACAAATGCTTATTGATGCATTGATTCTGTTGCTATGTCTGCCCCCCCCCACAGAGGTTACTTTTTGAATTTTCTTTGGTCTTTACTTCCTAGAAAGTCACTCCCTAATTACCATTTCTGAGCCCAAACAATGCTAGAAGAAGGTAACCTTCCATGGACAGAGGGAAGTCAGGGAAAGGATATTGGACCT